AAATACCAAAGTTATCTGCATGATAAATTTTATATTTTATTTCCTGCTCATTTGTTAGCATCTGACAACTGGAATAAAACTTTGAATCTGTGCCATTCTGTCTGAAAATGTTTTGATGGTGTCCAATATAATGTTTAGTGTTGATTTTGCAGTATGAATATCATTCATGTTGGTTCTATATTGTACATTACAAGTTTTCAGGTATATGTTACAGGTAAGTGATCACATATAAATAGAGGTCTAGGTGTCATGCTGGTTATTATACTCCCTGAAGGTAGAATTTTTTTTTTTTTTTTTTTTTGCACCAGTTTTTGTATCTATAAGCCTAGGCTGGCCCTGAAACATGGTTGGGTCTTAACATGTGCTCATTGAAGTAAAAGAGCTATTGTTTCCCTCCTTCTCCATGTGGGCTGTCAGCCAAGTTCATAACAATTCTCCTTTCTCTGGAAACTCAGAATTGGTGTTGTCTAGTTCTTCCTTGAACTGCTGTACCCAGCCACCCCCAATCATAGTTAATCTCCCAGGTTGAACACCTGGCCATTGCTGGGCCAAACTTCCATCTTTAGGACTGAGGGTCAGCCTTTAGGGTTAAACATAAATCATGTAAATACAGGAGCCATTATATAACCATAATGCAAACTAAAGAGTGGAGAAAAAAGACTGAAGCCTCTATGTTTCTGCTTGTGATTCCATGAGACACCCTCATATTCTCATAATAAACTCTCTTCAGTGTAAAAGTTGATTCATTGATTTTACTTATTTGTAGCTAAAAATCTTCCACCACTACATCAAACTTTCAGATTTCCTTTTCACTGAAGGATATTAGACTAAGTAGAAAATATATCTATAAAGGGAAGACACCACATGTACTTTAAAAATGCTAATCAGAGCTGGTGGTGTAACTCAGTGATGGACGGAGTGCAAGCATGTGCATACCAGGCAGGTACAAGCCCCCAGGGCAAGCCCAGCCCCACAGAAAACTAGTGGTGTGTGTGTGTGTGTGTGTTAGCAAAGCATTTGGGAATCTTATAGTATTAAAAATGGACTTGTAAATATTGGTAGAATAATGCTGAAGGGCTCTGTAGTTTGTTATTTTCAAACAATAGGGAATTTTAAAATAAAGTAGCAGGAAGAGAGTAAAATGATAAAAACTATAGATAACAGCCAACAATAGAGCAAACAGTGGAGTCTGTCTCCGTCCACCCTGACACAGCAGTCATTATCTCACATGACTTCCTTCACTTTCTCCATAGAGTCCTGTCCGGTGCAGCCCCAGTCCACCTGTCCAGCCTCTTCTTGTACCCCACTCCCTCCTTGTGTCCCTATGTGGGCTGCTTTTTAGGACCTTTCCTTGCCAAATTCCCCTGCTATATGGCTTTTATACATGTTGTCCTCTCTCCTGGAATATTGTTTTCTGCTGCCTTCACCCAACTTCCTTACGCCTCTTAGATTTTACAGATTATTCCTAGGTTAGCCTAGTGTACCTGTCTTTTTTACCACTCATCACTGTAGTATTTCTCTTAGGTTTTCTCTCCATTATCTGGCTGTCTATTCTACTAGACTGTAAGCTCTGTAAGGGCAGGAAATCTCTGCTTTATTGTTTTGCTCATAGCATCCAACTGTATGATCAACAAACATTGGGTGAATAAATAAATAAATATGTGGAAAGGTATTTAGGTATTTTATTTCTCAGACAGAAATCAAAAGTTAGCAAATAAACAGTAATAACAACAACAAACCAGCCTCTGCTTACATTGGTTTTCAAAGACGGGATGTATCATTCAGTTATTTGTAATTCATAATTTCTCTCAGATAGTTTGTGAATGATATTAGTAATAAAGTTGAAGTCCCTTTTACAAATAAGGGGGTAGGATTATTAGTAAATAAAACATAATTAATGTTCATATTACTTGCAAGCCATATCATAAAAACCTGCCTAACCTGTCATGTCTTTAAATAGTAGTTTTAACCCCTGAGATCTATTAAACCCCTGTCAGCCTTGAGATGGATGCAGGGGATATGGAGGGAAAGAGGTCTCCAATTCCTAGCAACTCCCAGAGCTCCGTGGAAGGAGGATGCTATCAGAGGTATTTCTAAGGTCTGCAATGCTGGTAGTCAGCACGGGTAAAGGTGGAGTAATGGAATAGAGGGGAGTCTCTGGGGCCACTTATAGGAAAATCTTGCCAGAAAGCCAGGTGATATGGTTGACTAACATAGGTTCCTCTTCCTTTCCCTCAATGTCCCTTTGAAAGTATGTGCACTTAAATAGAAGACACAGCAGCCTGCCTTGCTGGAGGAAGACCTCTCTTTCATCCAGATAATAAAAGTAGTCAAACTTTGTGCAAGCAGTTCTGGGTAAACACTTCATGACAAGAGGAAGAAGATGAAAGGAGATTTCCAAGGTTGAAGGTTTGGTTGGAAACCCTCTGGGAGCCTGGGAGTGAAGGCAATTTGCAAAGGCGATGACAAACAGTGACCACTGGAGAGAAGGGTGGGTGGTCCTCAGGGAATTAAAAGAAAGGAAAGGAGAAAAAAGCAAACACAGGCTACCTGCCTGAGAGTGAGGGCCATAAAAAACCTACTTCTAATGAGGAGCTTTTCTGACAAATAGTCCCAGAGCAGAGCTTAGTAGAAGGTCCGGATAGTTCAGTTAAAATTTTCTAGAGAGTATTAATATTATTTTTGGTAGAATAATCTGGTTTCATTCAAAATTAAGAAGACTCTAACATCCAGAAAATACCAAATTATATAAATAATTACCATGAATTATTTTCACTAAATGAGGTAGTACACAGTACTTAAAAAAAAAGAAAAACTTTATTAGTAAAATTCCAACAAAGAGGGTTGCCTGAAATTAAATCCAGAGTTCCTTCCAAAGAGTTTTGCAAATATCATCTGTGCAGTAGGAAGAACAGAAATGATGAGAGCACATTTTTCAAGAATACATCTCCACCTTCCCTTTTGCTCAGGAGGTGGCCTCTTATTTGCAGCTGTTGGATGTAACCAGTGAACCGAATACTTGAAACCAATTTGCTGGTTTGAGAAGAGGTTATTGATTCTCACAGCATGTAATGTATACACTTAGAAAATTTCATTGTTTAACTCTGCATGTGGATGATTCTTGCCTTAGACTACTCTAAGTCAGGCAGATGACAAGCTATATGGACTCTCCTTGTTTTAGCGAAGACTTCAGAGGAGTTGAAAAATGTTTAACAGATCCAAATGTTGCCCTGAGTTAGTTAAAAATACCTGTACATGCTTCTCAGAAAATGTCTCGTTAGGTGAGGGACAGTCTTATAAGCATGTGCTTTGTTTTGAGGGAAGATGTTGGGAGAGAAATTTCTGGGCATTTTGTATGATACCAAGAAGGCGATGGCAGTGAATGACATCATACCCAATTAAGTAAATATATTTCTGGATATTGTTTAAAATGACCACTGCTTGAGCTGTTTGTGATTTATCATTTTCAGAATTGCAAAGCCTAATCAGCGTATTCTTTGTATATTATCAGCATTATAGTTTGATGACCTATATTTGTGTTCTTGAAGTAGAAGGAAGCTTCCTCTGACACTGATGGAAAGGAGAACAGACAGATAGATGACTTTGTGCATTTGTATTTCTTTTTATTACTTAATAATAAAAGTTCAACTACATAATTAATGTTAAATTCTTTGGATGGGTGAAAATAGACAAAAATACTCAGCAATTTGAGGTCAATGTATTTTGTGGGTATTGTCTAATAATACATGTGAGATGACAAAGGCACACATTACTGAATGTCTCCCATTAAATCTTGGAAATGTGGGTCCCACCCTTTCTAATTACTCACCTTTTCCCTAGAAATATTACTAATACCCCATGGGAAGTTTGTTCCACTAGAAAGTCTGACATTTTGAACCAATTTGAGCAGCACTGTTAGGAGGAAATGATTTATTGTTCCCAATCACCATTCATAAGGTGATCATTGTGATCCCAAGGGAGGGTTTTAACTTGTGACAAGAAAAGTTTCTTTCTGCTTAATGGGGAGCCACATCCTTGAGCCTTACCTATTTGGTGAGAGAGAGGTCCTATGGGTATTTATTGACTTGAACTGAGGGGTCTTTCTTTTTTTTTTTTTTATTTATTTATTTTTTTTTAATTTTTTTATTGTTGGCTGTTCAAAACATTACATAGTTCTTGATATATCATATTTCACAATTTGATTCAAGTGGGTTATGAGCTCCCATTTTTACCCCATATACAGATTGCAGAATCACATCAGTTACACATCCATTGATTTACATATTGCCATACTAGTGTCTGTTGTATTCTGCTGCCTTTCCCATCCTCTACTATCCCCCCTCCCCTCCCCTCCCCTCCCCTCCCCTCCCCTCTTCTCTCTCTGCTCCCTCTACTGACATTCGTTTGTCCCCCTTATATTATTTTTCCCCTTCCCCTCACTTCGTCTTGTATGTACTTTTGTATAACTCTGAGGGTCTCCTTCCATTTCCATGCATTTTCCCTTCTCTCTCCCTTTCCCTCCCACCTCTCATCCCTGTTTAATGTTAATCTTCTTCTCATGCTCTTCGACCCTACTCTGTTCTTAGTTACTCTCCTTATATCAAAGAAGACATTTGGCATTTGTTTTTTAGGGATTGGCTAGCTTCACTTAGCATAATCTGCTCTAATGCCATCCATTTCCCTGTAAATTCTATGATTTTGTCATTTTTTAATGCAGAGTAATACTCCATTGTGTATAAATGCCACATTTTTTTATCCATTCATCCATTGAAGGGCATCTACTACAGAGCAATAGTAACAATAACAGCATGGTACTGGTACCAAAACAGGCAGGTGGACCAATGGTACAGAATAGAGGACACAGAAACCAATCCACAAAACTACAACTACCTTATATTTGATAAAGGGGCTAAAAGCATGCAATGGAGGAAGGATAGCATCTTCAACAAATGGTGCTGGGAAAACTGGAAATCCATATGCAACAAAATGAAACTGAATCCCTTTCTCTCGCCATGCACAAAAGTTAATTCAAAATGGATCAAGGAGCTTGATATCAAATCAGAGACACGCCGTCTGATAGAAGAAAAAGTTGGCTACGATCTACATACTGTGGGGTCGGGCTCCAAATTCCTCAATAGGACACCCATAGCACAAAAGTTAATAACTGGAATCAACAAATGGGACTTACTCAAACTAAAAAGTTTTTTCTCAGCAAAAGATACAATAAGAGAGGTAAATAGAGAGCCTACATCCTGGGAACAAATCTTTACTCCTCACACTTCAGATAGAGCCCTAATATCCAGAGTATACAAAGAACTCAAAAAATTAGACAATAAGAGAACAAACAACCCAATCAACAAATGGGCCAAGGACCTGAACAGACACTTCTCAGAGGAGGACATACAATCAATCAACAAGTACATGAAAAAATGCTCACCATCTCTAGCAGTCAGAGAAATGCAAATCAAAACCACCCTAAGATACCATCTCACTCCAGTAAGATTGGCAGCCATTATGAAGTCAAACAACAACAAGTGCTGGCGAGGATGCGGGGAAAAGGGTACACTTGTACATTGCTGGTGGGACTGCAAATTGGTGCAGCCAATTTGGAAAGCAGTATGGAGATTTCTTGGAAAGCTGGGAATGGAGCCACCATTTGACCCAGCTATTCCCCTTCTCGGTCTATTCCCTAAAGACCTAAAAAGAGCATGCTACAGGGACACTGCTACATCGATGTTCATAGCAGCACAATTCACAATAGCTAGACTGTGGAGGGGTCTTTCTAATACAGAGTTATTTTTAAAAACATGAATATCCTTAGGGACTTGTTTGGGGAGGTCATTAGTGGAGAAAAGAATCAGGGTAATATTTTTCTAAAACATCTTTATCATTGGTTTTGATTTTATGTTTAAATCAACAAATTGTTTCTCTTGCAGTCCTCATGGTTGATAGAAAGACTATCATATGAACCTCAGATGGTAAATGGAATTGAAAGAATGACTCTAGCATTTATCCAAAGGCATGATCCGAGGGATGAAAAGGGACAGAAGTCTCCATGAACAGGGCAAGAGACAAGCAAGCCATGTGTGACCAGGTGGTGGTATCAGAAGTATCTAATTTCCTGTTAGGATTATAACATGTGAAGCTTGTCAAGCACAAGAGCCCCACTTACAGATCTTGTGTTACAGGTTTCCAAAGACTGTGCAGCAAGCACACCAGCCATATAATTCACCTAAATTAATTGTTAGACTTCCAGAGTATTATGTGCTTTGGTGATTTTCAGCCTGGGATCTTTCTGCTGCATCTATTGAGGAGCCCTCCAGAGAGTCGGCCACAGCACTGAGCCTTAGGAGGTGACATTTGCCATCTTTAGGTCTCAGAATCACCTTGGTATTTTACCTCGTAGTCCTGTCGAGGACAGGTCACCTGAAAATGAAATTCTGAGACACAAGAAGAAGATGGGCTATAAAGAAAATGTCCCTCTTGCTCAAGGGATAAACTCAACTCAAAGGGGTGGGAAGAACACTGTTGCAGAGTGATATTTTAATAGATGATCCTCCCCCATTGCCTGCAGCTCCTGTTGCCTCTGCTTCTATCCACAACCCCATTAAAAGAAGTTTCACCAGAGATCAAGGAAAAAAAAAAGGCTTTTGATTTTCAAAAGGCAAGACCCTGAGGGCACTTGGCATTGAAACTGTATGATGATTTGGAGCAAGGCTTCTAGCCCTGGTTGGACATAAGGTTTTCCAGATGTGCTATTAGGGCAGTAAGGATAGGGCTGGGTCCAGGGAAGCAGACAGAGCAGGTAAATGCTGGTGTGGAGAGGAGAAGAAGAGGGAAGAGAAGACAGAGGGATAGAGGGGAAGCAGAGGGCATTGTTAGATGCCCCTGGCCCCTCTCTTCTTTGAGAAACAGATTCCAGACCCAGATCCCCAGAAGGGAAAGTCCTGGATGACAGAAAACCCAGATGGTTTGAGGTTCCCATCACTTCCCAAGTAGACCCCAAGAAGACTGAAAAACCCCAGAACAGAAATGAATAAGTGGTGTGTAGAGGACAGATGGTCTGAGCTGGCCCCAAGGGATTGAGCACATCTGGCACAGTGTGCAAGTGTTAGGATGAATCCTCTGTGCTCTGCCATCAGCATAGTAATAAAGGACCCAGAGCTTCCTAGCAGCCCTGTGGACAGAAAGCAGTGCAGTCAATCCTCCTGTGTCAGCGGCTGAGAGAGAGTGCTGTACCTGAAGTCTCAGACTGGGCAACAGCTCAATAGCAAGACTTATAGGAACCAGAGGTCTCAGGCATGCTGGTGCAGAGCCAGCATCACACAGAGCTGGGCCTGCCTCCCCCCATTCCCCTGCTCCAATGCAGCCCCTGGGACAAGGGTTGAGGAAGCAGCATCGAGTGAAGTTATGGTTCTGACACTGGATCTAGGCCCCCAATAGAAAAGTCATCATGGAAAAATAAAGTTATATCTCTTGTGCAATTGGCTGTATGGATGGAGATGTGAACTCAAAGGTGAAACCATGCAATTAATCAATAAATTAAAACAAATCAAGCACACCTGACACAACCACTCAGCCCCTCATCTTTGGAATTTGGAATTTTGTGAATCTCAGCAAAATCTTGACCATTGCTATGTAGCTAGATTAAGCACAGCCTTTCAGCTTATTTCCTGCAGGCAATGTGGCTGTCAGTGTCCTAGGAGCTGTCACTGTTTTCAACCACTGAGCCCTTGAAACAACATCTGAAATTAGGTATCATTCCATTTGATTGATAAGTAATTGTGCGCTCAACAAAATGAAATTGGAGGGACCGGCATCTCCTTTGTGAAGTTTGGTGGATAAGGCTGCGAATGATTCCTTCTTCCCCCAACAGCATTTCCCTTTTCCTGTCCATTCCTTGCCCTTTCTGCACCTTTACTCAAACTGCTCCTACTACTCATACTGCACCTCTTCCCTGTCCTTTTGACATCTTCCATTTTCCAAGGCACAATTCAAGTTTCATCTGTTCCCAAACAGTTTTTCAGCCCTCTTCATTATTATTATTTTATCCATCTTCCTGGGGTGGTGGTTGTTGTTGTTTGTTCTTTTTAGCACTTCACAGACACTGGCCTGTTATGAAAATCAACTTTGCATGGAGGGTTTGTGTCAGCTCTGGGTTGTGAACCCACATGAGTTTCATCTTGTGCATCCATAGCACCCACCATGAATTTGGTATCCTAGCCTGGCAGATATTTTGGTAATTGGAATATAATAAAGCATTAATGCATATTTGTCAAACAAAATTGAATTTAAAATTATAAAACACAAAGGTAGTGAAGCATGAGACAGATGCTTAAAAGAATTTTTAACTGATCACGTCTTTGATTCCCTTATTGCTTTTCTTCTTTTTCCCCTAGTTATTTAAAAAAAAAATTTCAAGCATATAAAACAAGTTAAAGAATTGTTCAGTGAAAACTCCTACAATAATCACCTAGCTTTTGTAATATGTATTCTGTAGTGTTTATCTGACTATATCTCTCCATCTATCCATCTTTCTAACCCACCTCTCTGACTTTCAAATATATTTAATGTTTGATAAACCTTTGGAATCAGATCTGGGATTTATTCCTGAATTCAGCCTGTACTTACTGTGTGACCTTGGCTGTATGTTTAACCTTTGTCTATTTTCCTGTCTGCAAAATAGGGATGGACAATAATGCCTACTTCATAGAGAGGGGTGGAGAATCAATGAGATAGGGCATGTAAAAGGCCAGGCACAGTGTGTGTTCAGCACAGGGTAGCAGGAGGAAAAGCAGAGGTGTTTCAAGTCACTGGCACTGATCTGCAAAGATAAATGCTTCTGATGTTTTTGCTTCCAGTCTCTGTTTTAGGTCCAGAAGGAAAAGAAATTGATAGGAGATGATCAATTTTAGCCTCTTCTTGGTTGTGAGTGAGAGGTCCCTGGATCTACCAGGTGAGCAACAGGTCATCTGGACTTTGGTATGGAAACTGCATTCAGAATTACCTGGTATAATTCAAAAGAGCCAATAGTAGAATTACCCATCATCTACTTTCACTGTGACAAGGTGGGGAATCTTATACTTACCTAAAATTCAGGAAAAAAAATTGCTAAAAATGGAGATAACTAGGAGAGAATGTCAGAGAGTTCTGTAGTCATAAAAGTCAATCCCTGAGCTCTTTTATGTAGGGGTTTGCAAATTTTCTGAGTATGAGTTTTCATGAGTACAACTTTTTGCTCTAAGGCTGTAGAATATCCCATTACTGGAACCATTTTTTAAATTATGCTGCAGCTCATCTTGCCCCTGAAATTGCCCTGTAAACTGGTGGTTGGATAATGCAGATTACCTTCTCTGTGGCCTCAGACCAAGCACCCTTTGGGACATTGGATGAGTGGGAAAAAGGAAATCCCATTCTTGTTTTCTGCCTCACTCTCACATATCTACCCCTTGCATAGTCATTACAATATCCTTCACTTAGTTAATCATGTTCAGTACAGGATTGTGTGAACACTGTGGTTGAACAAAATTATCATCTGTTCATGTGAATAATTTTCTGTGGCACACTTAGAGTTGGACCTTTTCATTACAAATTTGCATTAGTGTATGCCTACTGAGTTGTCCCTTGATGAATCAGAAAATTCCTGATGTCATTTGATTGTTTGCAACTTAGATGACATATCACATTAATCTGTGGAACTCTAAACAACACAAGTGCCTACTCCCCCTGTAGCCCCACCCTGCAAGTGGATAGTCATTGTTAGTGGATCTTAGGGTAGCACACTGGAATCCACATTTTTAAAAGTCTCTACAAATTATTTTACTTCACAGCGAGAGTTAAGAACTACCTCTTGACTGTAAATCTGTACAGTTCTTCTTCATAAAGTGAATGAGAGGTGTAGTGTGTCTTTTAAGATGCAAAATCTTGATTGACTTTTTATATTTTGCTTTGCTTTCAATCAGTTGATGGCCAGAAAATGGAAAACCAGCTGAACTGAAATGAGTAGGAATTTTTACAAAGTAGAGTAAGTTGTGTGTAGAATGAAGAAAAGGACAATCAAGTAGAGCAGTTGGGGAGACTCAGGTAAAGTAAAGAGGAGCCAGGAAAGACTGTCATAGCCAACTGAGAAAGCAGTGCTGGGATTATTGGATAAAGGGTATAGCCTAGGACAATGGCAGATATACAAAAGAACTTGCCATATTTTCTAACACATCCGTATTTGAAATTTTAACATTCCAGTTATCTGTTGACCTGGTACCATTGGGACATAATTGTCATTGCTTACACAGAGTGACTTTCATTATTATGGTGGCATTACTGGATAACTCCAACTACTCAAAGTTTCAGTGGACAAAGTATTTATGAGTAAAAGAAAAATCCTGGTTATTTGAGAATCTACTGTTGTCATCTGCTGGTTAGATTTTTTTTTAAAAAAGGAAGAAAGTAAAACCATCAAAGCTTATTGATTTTTAGTTCCTGAGAAGAAAATTCTGGAGATAATAGTGGAATCCTTTTGAAATAAATGCAGAGTTCTTAATATACTTGATGACACAGATTCCAATATCATATTAAAAATGGGAACAAATATGCCAATTCTGAACTGAAAAGTGACTCAGAAGAGTTGAACTCTAGATGTGAAGAAGTTTGGGGTACAATATAATTGGAAGCATTTTTTTTTCTCTTAGGGTATATTGCTTGGTACTTTCACTAGAGCTCTTACTGTTCTAATAGTCTCAGGCTTCTCAAGTGCAGACCAATGAGGTCTTCAGTTCAGGGTAATGTGGCATTTGTATTGTTTTTGCAAAGGAGAATATTGAAGATTTTCAACTCCAAATAGAACCCCATTGTTGGTAAATGATTGCCAATTAAAATTGATAAATATATGCAAAACTATTGAGAGGGCCCAGTGAATCACAGATTTATGTGTATATAACTTCCATGAAGTTTAGCTTCTGAGACCTGAAAAACAGAGAGAAAAATCATTATATAATTAAGAAGGAATTATTTCTATTTTTGAAGACCTATGTAGGAAATGAACATGAACTGATAGATAAGCTTTCAAAAGACTTTCACAAGGTCCATTCTGGGGACAATTAGAATAACAACAAAAAAGAATCACCACTGAAGTGGAATTGGGTGGCAGGAGAGAAAGACAATGAGACAATTTGAAGGTTTGGCTTAAGCACTCCAAATTGCTCTTTGGCATTATAACATCTAGGTGGTCAGCTTTTGTCATTCCCCTGTTCTTGGGCAAGAGTTCTTCTGAGAAGTAGTCATTTTATCAAGACCCAGATGCCTTAGAGTATATCTCAAGAACCACAATCCATGTGTTAGTGAGATTTTTGTCAATATGACCAAAATACCTGACAAAAACAACTTAAAGGAAGAAAAATCTATTTTGGCTCATTGTTTCAGAGATTCAGTCCATAGATGGCCAACTCCACTGTTCAAGGCTGGAGGTGAGACAGAAGATTGTGGTGGAAGGGCATGGAGGAGGAAAGCTATTCAGATCATGGTGGCCAGGAAACAGAGAGAGAGAGAAGGAGGACAAAATGCCACACTTCCAGTGACCTGCTTATTCCAGCTATGTCCCATCTGCTTACAATCATCACCCGGTGTAGTCGTCCTTCAAATGGTTAATTCATGAAATGAATTAATATGTTGATGAGGTTATAGCTGTCATGATCTAATGATTTCAACTCTGAACATTCCTGCATTAACACAAGAGCTTTTGAGGGATTCCTCATATCCAAACTATAGCAATCTACAAGTACCATTCGTCTTCCACATGCTACTTTTGAATATGTCAAAAAAAAAAAAAAGCTCTCAAATCGACCTCAGGTTGCTCTTCTCCAAACCAAGCATCCCATTCTTCAAAGATTCATAATCTAGGGCTGGGGATGTGGCTCAAGCAGTAGCACGCTCGCCTGGCATGCCGTGCGGCCCAGGTTCGATCCTCAGCACCACATACAAACAAAGATGTTGTGTCTGCCGAAAACTAAAAAATAAATAAAATTCTCTCTCTCTCTAAAAAAAAAAAAAAAAAAAAATTCATAATCTATTTCCTGGAGGCTCTTCCCATCCTTGAGTCTCTCTTCTGAATATCCTGCAGTCTATATTCTTTATAACTAGCGAATATAGTTCTTATTTGTCCACAAGTCTTAGTTTTTGGCTGTTTTCTAAGTTTAATTCTCACTAGCAACCCTTCTCAAAAGATTTCTGATTAGAATAACACCATGCATGGTCAACCTACTTGGAATTGGATTGAGTGCAATATCTGAGGCGTGTCTGAAGAGCGACTACTAGAGCAGAGGTCTTACTGACTGACTCTACTTTATACAAGCACAGCCAAATAAATGTGTCAGTGACTTGGTCCACATACACATGGTTGCCTCATGTTAACTTGTGGTGATTGCTGTCCTCAAATCTTCTTCACACTGAGGACACAAATCCACATCTTCCCTATGGAGTACTTGAGCTGGTTGTTCTTTGGCATCTATTCCTACTAAATTTCATGATGTTGGGATTCAAGCCATTGTCATCTGTCCAGAACTTTGTTATCCAAAATGCTGACACTCCTTTCAATTTTGGTTATCAAAAGATATAACCTTGCTTGTCTTTATCACCATCAAAATTATTGATTTAGAATATTACATGGAATAGTCTTATAGTTCTTTGCCTCTTTCCAGTTTTTCACTTCATAAAGGTCATTTAATATCACAAATTCAATTTCAGGATCATCCAGGCCTCACATTTCTGGCTTTTGCTTGAAAATATTTTGGAATATTTAGCAAATGCCTTTTGAAACTTCAGCTGTCAAATATAGAAAGCCTTTTCCTAATTTATGTACCTAGATCCTAATAAATAGATTAGATTAGAAGAGAAAATAGATTAAAATAGAGTTAAGTCTAATATGACTTCAATAATTCACTATTTTTTGGTGTGTTTTTTGATGTTGTTATTGTTTTTTGCCTCAATAGGGCCTTTGCAATGTCTGGTCCATGGAATATGAGAGTGCCCAATTACTATTTTTTTCATCCAAGCACAATTTTTCATTGAAAAACAAGCAGATCCTACTCCTGGCTCTTGCTAGGGAAAGAAAACCTATTTCTTTACACCTGTCAAGGACATCTGCTTTGGGAAGCCCCACACACAGCTTAGGTCCACATCAGAGTATGAATTGACTATTTGATAATCATGTAAATATTATTGCTGAAATAAAAACATGATTGAGGCTGGAAGTATGAACCAAATGCAGAAAGTGCCAGCTCTTTAATGTAAGCAATTAATTAGGCATCATCTTTAAGTCTGGTGATAGGTCCCAGGGTGTTAATCAAATCAAATATCACCAGCTGCTGGGAGAACAGGCTCTTTCAGGAAGCATTTCCTACACGGAAGGGGAGAGGAATGTGGCACTGAAATGGATTTTCTGAGGTTCCAGGCTAAGGACACCTATGGAGGAATTATGAGAAAATGTTGCATAGGCATATCCATGCGGGATTAGACAAACTGTGCTGAGTAGCTGAAGTTATGGAAAAACCTAAATTTGGAAGCCAGACAGAGCCAATGCCAAATTCTCCTTTTCCTAGCCTTAGAAAAATCACGTGATTTGTGTGAGCCTTATTTTCTTCAGCTTTAATATACGGGTGACAACACCAACTGATATGTTTTTATAAGGATGAGAGGCCACATGGGCAGCACCCAGCACCATGCTCACCATGTGCATGACAGTGGATAGATAGTGATGTGGTAGTAGTAAATGGGTAGTTGGGTTCTGGTGTCCACCCTGCGACTATTGACTTTGATCTTGGGCATACCCTTGAGCTTGGCTTCCCCAACTCTGAAAAGGCAGGAGTGGGATAGAGGCTGCACCAGAGCTAATGGCCCGCCATTCTTTGACAGGGATCAGAATTAGGGATGTTTTGTGATAAGGGCATTGAGACAAGGCAGAAGTCCACTGACATGGGGGAGGGACCATCAGCAACATCCCACAGAGAGTTCATTTTCTCCACTCCAAACTTCTCTTCTACACAGCAGCCTGGAGACCACTTGAAGGGAGCTTCATCGTTTGTCCTCACCACCACACCTACCTGGCTGTCACCACGGGTCAGGCCCAACAAGAAGCATCTTTGTTCAAAACAGAAAGACATTTATCACTGCAACCAGGGCACCTTAAAGGAAAAAGTAAGTTTGTGATGTTGGGGAGGAATCTGTCTTGAACTATTAGGCTACTTTAAAAATAACATTTTTTTCTTTTTCTTCTAATTGCAAATTAATACATGACTGATGCAGAGAGTTATGAACACACTAGTTTAAAGACCACCATCATTAACATTCTATGCATGTTCTTTCAGTCATTTACATATAAACTAAAAATGACCTCACACCATTGCCCTGATAGTAACTTTTCTGGGTATTCTTTCTCCACATACCCATTTCATTTATGCTGTTTAAGTTTGCTGATTTCCATTAATAGTAATTCCTTAGTTATTTAGCAAAGGTGTCTGAAATGAGATGATTGCCCCTAAGCCATACGCAAAGTATATTAGGGAATGAGAAGAAAATTTTAGAGTTTATGTTAATGCTTTTACTTTTTTTTTTTTTTTTTTTTTGGTACAGGGGATTGAATTTAAAGGCACTGACCACTGAGCCACATCCCCAGCCCTATTTTGTATTTTATTTAGAGACAGGGTCTCGTTAGTTGCTTAGTGCCTTGCTTTCGCTGAGACTGGCTTTGAACTCGCGATCCTCCTGCCCTGAGCCCCCCAAGATGCTGGGATTACAGGCATGTAGCACTGTGCCCAGCTATACTTTTACTTCTTATCAAGAGTGTGTGTGTGTGTATGTGTGTGTGTGTGTGTGTGTATCATAACATGGAAAAATAAGTCTGGAGGTAGAGAGTCCTGAAGTGGAACAGTGATCCCAGAGATTGAAGCTATTTCCAACTCTGCTCTTCTGCCCTCATGGGCAGGCACCAGCCTCAAGCCTGTAATATGGCTGCTGCAAATATATATATTACACTCACATTTCAAACAGGAATAATGGGAGTAGGTTCAAGGCAATTGTTTTCATCTACCAAGGCTTTGCTTTTTATTCAAGAAGATGTCTTCCTTTCCATTGGGCAAGTCAAAGGAAGCTGAGAAATTGAAAATTTTAGGTTTCATCTTCTTTGGCAATGGAAGTCAAGGGCATGGGTAACTGTGAACCACTTGGGGGTAGGTAATCCATAGGGTTTGCCAAAGTCTTTTCCCTGGAAAAGTGCATGCACTTGTACACGTGTACTCACACACAAACCCAAGTTGTTATGTAATTTTAGGGGGTTGTCAGCTAAATGTGTGTGTGGGGAGGTACCCATTCCAAAGGGCCAAATTGAGAACCACCACTTGAATGGATGTTGTGTTCAGCCCCAGTCAAGAAGTGAGAGAGGAGCAACAGGAAATGGAGAAAGAAGAAAAAGTGGGAAAAATGTGAATGGGAGTGCCAGATAGAACAGAGTGGCCATGAAAGTTATAAACAGCAGATATTATAATAACAGTAAAAAATAAATACAACAGCAAAGAGAAAAAGAGGTTAAAGAAATTGTACAATGGGGAAGAGGGGAAAATCATTTATGTATTTGAAGCTTAAGGAAGTATATCCTCCAGACAGACTAGAATTGAGCTCACCAAGTGAGTTGAGGCTGGCAGTGCAGTGGGTGGGGAACTAAGCCACTGCCAACCTCAACTCACTTGGTGAGCTCAATTCTAGTCTGTAGAGTCATTGGTTTTTGCTTCTGTAGAGTCATTGGTTTTTCATCATAAATTCAAGAGGGTTCTCCAGAAGGTTTGGAAACTTGAAGATTTGAAGTCTGATTGAGAATAGTCAAGCAATAAGCTCCGTTCCATAAAATTCTGCCAAGTGATATTTAATTAGGCATTATAAATAATTTCTAGTGAAGTTTATTGTGGCAACTTACAGTTAGCTCCCTACAGATTTGTAGGAAGTGATCAAGATATTTGGGGTTATATGATTTGCCAAAGCCATACACACATGCAGCAAAATAATTAGCACCATCATCCCCCAAATATCCTACAAAACCTATGACAAATTTCCCCCAGGTGGAAAAATCACAGGTCCCTCAGCATCTTTGGCCTATTAGTAATTGAAGACAAAGGTTTTTAAGAGCAACAAAGGTATATTTGAATCATGTGTATTTTATCCCTAGGGAAATTGATGATGGTATAAAAGAAGGTCATCGTATTGGAAAAGAAGTATAAAAAAAGTGGAAATCATGAAGCTGCAAAAGAACTCAGCAGAAATAAAGAGAAAAAATACCTGATTTCTGAGCACATTTTATATCCTGAACCATTTTATAGAAATGAAGGAACTAATTTATTTTTATAACACTTTCCAAGTGTCACACAGAAAGTTTTTATGCTTCCAAGTACTCGGCGAGGTAAGAAGTTAAAGAGTTTATAATTTTTACCTATGTCTAACCCAGAGTGAACCCAAAGTAAAAGTTTGTAAATGTTGAATAAAGAGGACCAGTGGATTTAAAACTTGGGTTTTAGTGACAGAATACCCAGAATGGGATCTTAGCTCCATCAACTCATCAGTTGTATGATCTGGGGACATGTTTAAGTTACTTTGCTTCTCTGTCCCATTTCTTCATGCATACAATAGAAATACTTGCTTCATAGAATTGTTTGGATGACTAAATGGTTAATCCATGTAAAACTGTCTGCAGAAAAATGGCATGATAAACATTCTGATTGTTACAGAAACACATGGATAGATGTGTTAGTAAGTTTTCCATCACTGAAAAAATACCTGAGAGAGTCAACCTAAAGGAGGGAAGGGTTATTGTAGCTCACAGTTGCAGAGGTTTCAGTCAATGGTTGGTTGGCTCCACTACATTTGGGTCTGTGATGAACATCAGGATAGGGAGCATATGGAGGACAAAGCTGCTCACTCATAGTAGCCAGGAAGAAAGGAGGAAACAGGAATCCCAATATCACCTTCTAGGACATGCCCCCAATGACCTAACTTCCTTCCACTAGGCCTCACCTCTTAAAGGTTCCATTACCTCCCAATAGTGCCTTAGGCTGTTGACCAAGACTTTAACACATGGACATTTGGGGGACATTCAAAATTCAAACTATAAACTATATCAATGGATAAGCAACAGTTGTTTTGTTTCTGATTAGTTCTACATATTTTATTCTTAATTTCCACTTCAGTATTATGAGCTGGGAACCATTTTAAAAGGTAAGTCACTCTGAAAAATAGCAGTAATTCCTGATGAGGTATATGCCATATATATATATATATATTTGCAAGCATCAAACTGATGCAGTCTTTAAGACTGGTTATTATATAGTGTGAAACATCTGGATTTGAATCCTCACTTACTGACTCTAAGACCTTGGAAAGGCTGCCTAATTTCTTGGGGCCCCAGTGGCCTTATCTATAAAATGGGGACTCTGTGTTTTACTATTAACCAAGCATTTTCCAGAACAGAAATGAAGCTAAGAGGTGATATGAAACAGTTTTTCTCTATATTGTAAATAATACACTAGGGTTTCAGACATAACATTCAAGATTAAATTTTGAAACCTACTTATGCCAAGAGTTTGATTGTTCGTTTATTTCATAGTCAGACATTAAAGCACTGTGAGGGTCTATTCAGATTGAGCTGGTAAACACACAGCCTACCTAGACCCTTCACCAGGGCTGTTGCAGACATTACTAATCCATCAAAATATTTAACTACCAAGTTCCTACTCGGCCTCCAAAGTTTTCTCCACACAATATTTCAGGCATCTGTTTCCAGTTTAGTTGATGTTTTGTGAATTAAAACTTATTTTTTATCTGTATTCCAATAACATATCTTCAGAAGTGACATCTTTCCTGGAGGATGAAGAATTTCTAAATTTTCAAGTAAACCTTCTACTGAACTTCTAAACTCATCAATGATGACAGATAAACCTCCCCCATGTCCTTGAATAAGCAAGGTGAATTACATAAAAATGAGAGAAAAGGTTGACTGGCAGTACCCATGATCTATTGTTTGTGTCGTTTTGGAATATGCTGCTAAGACAAATGACACTGATAGCTATAATTTTTAAAAAAGAGATTTGCTAGAGTCTGAGGAAGTCATTTGAGATGTGGCTTCTTTAACTGGTGACTCAGTAGTTTTCTGCAAAGACATCTTAACTCTGTCTAATGCATCCTATAGTTGACTGTCTTTGTGTTTTAGGAGAAATATGCAAATAAACAAATGTGAAGATGGTTCTTAGATGTTGATTGGTTTATATACATTGAACTCAAGGTTCTTTAGCATCTTATAATCAAGCATTGTTACTTCTCATGTGACCCTATTCTTCAGGGGAACAGTCATAGTCATTATGTACTATTTAGGAAGACAAGAAACTGTATACTTACTTTAGAAAAAGTAACATCTCCTAAACATCAATAAAAAGAGATATATATGTCAATGGAAAATGGGCACAGATAAGAATTAAACCTCAGAGAAGAGAAAAATTCAAGAAATTAGCAAGAATATGAAGAGATGTTCAAATTCAACAGAAAATGCAAAATAAATTAACAATGAGATATCATTTTACATGTACTAGACTGGCAACATTTATGAAGCTGGGTAATGCCAAGTGTTAATGAATGATCTGGGATTATGAGAAACCTTATGCACTGTTGATGGGATTATTGATTGGTACAGAAATTCTGCAGAGGACACTTGTATAATAGAAAATTAACTCTATGACTACTTTCTGAAACAGCAAGCCAAATCCATTCCCAGCTACTTATGTCACAAAGGAATTCTCAGGATTTGTAGGTGTCCTATATAAGTCAGATGATTAGGTGTCCCAGTTTGTTTGTGACAATCATAGTATACCATTGTTGTCCTAGTATAATTATGAATGTCATCCATTCATTCTGAAAAATGTTCACTCTGCATATGAAGCTGGTCATTGCAGCATATTTGGGGTGGGGAAGAAGAGAGAGGTGGTTTGGGGAGTGAAGAGGCAAAATGTATTGGGTTCATGCTACTCAGCAGAGAGAAGTGACAGACTAGCAAAAAACATGGATCTTAAAATTTTACTCATAGGAAGAAAACATGGGTCTTAAAAACAGTGCTGGATGAAAAAGAAACAGACTAAGGTTTATAACAGCACTATTTGCATATAGTTAAGTTCCATTTATTTAAACCTATATATTTTATAAGAACCCTTGCCAACAAAGGGCATGGTTGGAATGGTTGCCCTGGGGAGCAGAGGAATAGGAGGGGAATAAAGGGGCAGAAAGAAAGAAAATGAGAGGGTTCTTGTTGGACCAAAGAAGCTAATGAACCATTCAGAAGTGTGATTAATTCAGCCTCAGGACCTGAAATCAAAAACTGAGTTCCATCAAATTAGATGAAACTGAGACATTTTTCAAAAAGCATTGAAGAAAATTAAACTATAGCTTTCTTGGGAAATTTGCATTTATTTATTTATTTACTCTCTTTGAGGTTCTATAAAGCATAAGGCAGCTTAAATAAGTATCTTAAGTAGAACCAAATAAATATATAATATTTGAATAAGGAAGCAGAAATGAATGTATATAGAACTAAGAAAGTTAAGGCAAAGCCACTGTGAGGTTATCAGCTGAAATTCACACCAGAAGGATCTATGCACTTGCTGGAAATGGGGCGTGGAAGTGGCATTAAATTGGTGAGTGGGTAATGCAAAGAAGGAAATGCTCTCACCTATACGGTCCACATAGTCTGGAGAAAGATCTACCACAAAACCATTCCAAGTTCTAAAAAGCAGCACACATTTCCCATTCTGAAATCAGAGAGAAATCTGTCCCTTGGGCTCTTATAAGGAGGGCACTGTGTAATGGAATAGCGACCTAGAAAACTAATTTCTACAGAAACGCTCATTGCAAAGCCATGTTGAAAACCGAAGTGTTAATTTACTCTAACAGGGTTTGGGATCCTTGGAGTTTCACAGTACAACCAGGTTTCAGTTTCAGATCAGTTTGGGAAATGTTCCTAGGTGTGCAATAAACTTGTGGCTCACAAGGTATTTATTCTACTGGGTTAGGAATCCCAGGACCAGAAATTCCTGGTCATTAGAGCTATAGCCAATGAAATAAAAAAAGCAAAGTATTCTCTAAACTATGTTCCTCCATCTCTTCCTGAAACAATTTCAGCAGCAATTAAATTTTATTGACTAAAACCCAAACAGTAATTGTAGAGATTACAAAAGGTAAATCTACTACATGGAAAGAGGTATCACCCTAAAAGTTAAACCAGCAATAATAATAGAAGAGTTTAGTGGCAATCATCTGCAGAAGGGATCCACCCTGAGAAATGATCTCCAAATGGACATTTGTGTGTGTGTGTGTGTGTGTGTGTGTGTGTGTGTGTGTGTGTGTGAGAGAGAGAGAGAGAGAGAGAGAGAGAGAGAGGGAGGGTAGGGGAGAATAACTGGGATTATGGTTCATTCTGGTTTTGGAGGCAGGGCTGTTCAAGTTCTTTTGAAACCTGGTTTAAATAACCCCTGCACACCATTCAATTATATTTGATTTTGTATTCACCAAGCATCCTCTGCTTAGTAATTCAGTTTCCAAGAGCCATAGGAAGGGAAGTGTGGTAGATTGATGTCAAAGTGGCTATAATTCTTCTTCATCCCTGTATCCAAACCCCATAAGAGGTGACTTTATAACTCATACGTTCCATGGGTGGAGACTATGTCTTTACCCCTTGAACCTGTGTTGGCTTTATGATTTGTTTTGGCCAAGGGGATGAGAAAGAAGTGAGAGTGTGCCAGGGATAAGCCTTGAAAGCTTGTAAGAGGCTTGAAAGCTGCTCTCTCTCTCTCTATCCTCTGAATCTTGCAGCCCCATGGGAACACATTCATTCCAACTGAATGAATGATGATCAGCAAGGCCATTTACCCTGTCTGCTGTGGCTGATTGCCAGAAAACACCAGAAACAAAGGTGAGGTCTCTTTAGATCAGCTAGCCTACAGTACAACCACAGGAACCTGAGTAAGCCCAGGAGACATCAGCTGGACTGCATCCACATCAGCAGAACTTCTCTGCTGACCTCTGATACGTGAGCAAAATCAACTGCTTACTTGTTTTAAGTCTCTGAGTGTTTGCAATAGCTAATTGACATAGGAGAGTATTCTAATGTGAATCTTATGACCAATAAAAAAAAATTGGGCCACCATTATAAATAAACATACAAGCAAAGTTGTTATTCTTAAATAACAACAACAAAACCCCTTGGCATTCTAGTTTGTGTTTGAAGACCTTTTAAGCCAGTTAGTGTAGAAGTTCCTGTGAACTTTGAGTAGCTCTGAATAAGTGGACCAATCTGAATTTATGGATTTGCAAGTTAGAGGATTTGCAATCCTACACTAGCAACTTTAAAAACACTCCCACCTGGGATTCCAGCTTAGGTGGAAGGGGAAGGATATAGGGCTCTCAAAAACTAGAAGGGAGGAGTTCAAAAGCTTCCAATATAAAGAAATGATAAATGTTTGAGGTGATGGAAATGCTAATTAACATGATTGGATCCTTACACGTTGTATATGTGTATTGAATTATTGCGTGGTACCCCATAAATTTATATAATGAGTCAACTAAACATTTCAAAATTTTAAATCTTGAAATTTAAGTCCTAGTTTGTGTGACAGAACATTGTTTTCTCTTAAAGTGTCTTTAATTACCCTGGAATTGCTTTGCACCTGCGACTGGGACTGTTCCAGAGGGTCCCCTCTCAGAGCTGTGTTTTCCACTCTGTTGGTCTGCGTCTCATCACCTCTCCTCAGGGCAAGGACAGGGAGTTGTGCACAAAAGTATCTGTCACAAGAGAAGCTGGTAAATACCAACTCTTAATTGGATTCTACTGTGGTTTCCGTGACCAGTTCTGACCCCCTGGCATTTTCATTTTTTGAGTTTTGTCATCATTTTTCTTATGAGGAGTTCGGTAGGGCCTGGCCCCGCTGTCCTGTGAGTCGCCAATGTCTGTTATGCTGTGACTGAGTCTCATTATTGCCACCACTGCTGGGCAGCCAGATCCTTTGAAAGCAGGAATGGAGGCCTCAGGGATTCACTAATGACACCTGAGGAGATGCAACAGGACCCACTGTCTGGGGCATGCTGTGGGAGATGCGCAAGGAATGAAAGATGGCCTTCCTCTCATCAATGCCAACAGAGTAGTGCCAGAGTTCTTAGGATATCCAAACAAGTAAACAAACAGGATTTAGGATCCAGCTTAGAAAATAGCTAAGAACTTTGGGAATATTTTTGTGAAATTAAAATGTTTCCCATGATGTTTATCCTGTTAGGAAATTGAAGAGAGCATTGCGGTAGAGAGAGAGTCCTGGAGTAGGAATAGAGGGCCAGGATTGGAGGCACACCTGGGTAGCATCCTGGCTGTGTCTTGCTAGATTTATGCCCTCTGGCAAATTACAAAGCTTTTCTGAGACTTGGTAAAGTGATAATGGTATTAAGTAATTTAAATGTGTATAATTCCTAGCATGAAACCTGGACACGTGTGTACTTGGTAAATGTTAGCACTTCAATTCCTACGCGCGCGCGCACACACACACACACACACTCTCTCTCTCTCTCTCTCTCTCTTTTTTAACCATTTCTGGCTTTTGGCTTTCTTGTTGCTATTTGTTTGATTGCTTGCTTGTATCTGCATTATATTTTATTCTGTAAAATTAAGGATGGGCTTTTGGAAAGCAAGATGACATTTATATAAAAATCTTAGGTTAAAAATCTATACTTTCTACATAATAATCTCACTTATGTAACTATGCACTGACCTGTGCACTGAACTGTCCAAAGAAGAAATGATAAAACTATGGTCCTAGCAAGACCCATTTTCCCTTCAAAAAATATCCTGACTACTTTTCTAATTAAAAGATACTTTCTTTACCCTTTAAAAGTCATTTTTGCTATTTGCTACTATTCTTTATTAGTGGTTCTATATGTCAGGAAATTCTCATCATTTCCCCCAAGTCATTAAAAAATAGAGCAATGTTAATTCCCCATGGATTCAACATGGGGATGAATCTTGTATAAAGTTTGTCAAATAGGCTTATTTTTTTCTATCTAGACAGCCAATTACTAGAAGAAGCAATGCTGGATTATAACCCATCTTGTATGTTCATGCATCTATCAGGATGTATTTCATGGTAAGAATTATACTGGTGCTTCATAATATTTGGTATAAAATGGTTACATCAGAGTACACCAAAATAACAGTCAAGAAAGCGTTTAGAGGAAACGGAACTCTCACTATGACCAGTCAATTGCTCATTCCTAGGCTGGGTTCTTCCACCACATTCTCTCAGAAGAGCCCTGTGAGTCTCCCACTTTTCTGAAGAGGAAACTAAAGCCCCAGATTTCAAATGACTTGCTTGCAAACCAAGAATTTAAACAAAAGGCTGCTATTTGACTTCAAAATCCATATCCTAGCTTCCGTTCCCAGCAGCTTTCAAGGTAGTGGTTCTTACCTTTAACTATACTTTGGAATCATCTGGAAAGCTATAAAAGACAAAATAGCAATGCCCAACACAGTACCAAACAAGGAGAGAAAGATGGAGGACTCTTACTATCTGATTTCAAGACTTGCTGTACAATTCAGTGATCTTTCTAGTGTTGCATTGAAAAAAAAAAACAGACACAGAGATCAGTAGGAAGGAACAGAGAGCCTAGAAGTAGACTCACACAAATAGATTCAACCTATCTTTGACAAAGGAGCAAAGGCAATTCAACATAGAAATGACAAGCTTTTCAACAAATGGCACTGGAACAATTGAAAATCCATAAGTTTTTTTTTTTAAATAGAACCTACACAGACCTTACACTTTAATAAATATTAGTTCAAAATGGATTATAATCCTAAATATATTGTACAAAACTGTAAAACTGTCAGAAGTAAATAGGAAAGAAACTATGTAACCATGGTTCAACAAGGAAATTTTAGACACATAAGCAAAAGCATGAGTTAGGAAAGAAAAAATAGTAAGTTGGACTTCATTAAAATTAAAAACTTCTGTGACAGACACTATTAAGGAAATCAGGACAAGAGAATTTCCCAAGCCACAGACTGGGAAAAAATATTTACAAAACACATTTCTAATAAAGGACTTGTATTCAAATTATAAGGAACACTAAAAACTCAACAATAAGACAATAATCTGTCAAATTTTAAAATAGACAAAATATTTGAATAGAGACACTTTGCCAAAGAAGATAGAAAGATGGAAAATTAGGATGTGAAAAGATATTCATCATTTGTTGCTAGGTTATTACAGATTACAACCAGATAACTCTGCATATCTTTTAAAATGACTGACATTAAAAACCAAACGAATAAACAAAAAAACCCCACTGATATTAATTGCTGACAAGGATGTGGAGCAATAGGAACTCTCCTTCACTGCTGATGGGAATGTAAAATGATTCCATCACTTGGGAAGACAGTGCAGCAGCTTTTTGCAAAGCTAGACAGAGTCTTACTGTACCATCAGTGATTGAATCACTACATATTTAATGATTTGAATGCTTAAGTTACTGCTTGAAAATATATGTGCACGGAAAGGCCTGCATGTGAGTATTTATAGCAGCTTTCTTCATAATTGACCAAACTGGAAGCCACCAAGATACCCTTTAATAGATGAATGGATAATCAAACATAGGTACATACATACAATGAAATATTATTCAATGATAAAAAGAAATGAACTATCAAGCCTCAAAAAGATGTGTGAATCTTAAATGAATGCTGCTAAGTGAAAGAAGTCAGTGTGAAAAGGCTTCATATTTTATGATTCAAATTGTATACATTTTGGAAAAGGCAAACCTATAACAATCGTAGAAAGACCAATGGTTGCCAGAGGTAGGGTAGGAGAGGGCTGAATAAGTGAAGCACAGGGGATTCTTTCAGACAGTGAAATTTTTCTGCATTATATTATAATTATGGTTATATAATATTATGCATTTGTCAAAACCCATAGAACTTAACAGCACAAAGAGTGAGCCTTAATGTATACAAATTTGAAAAATCATTTAGAAGATCGGGGAATCCTAGGATGAAACGCAGAATTGTGATGATCTAACTGTATTACAAATATATGAAACAATCTCACTCAATTGTATGGAGGAAAAGGGGACTGACTAAGTAGCTTCGGAAGTAAATGAACCCTGTAAGTCTAAAAGCTAAAGGAACTGTAAATAAGCACTATACTCTAGTTGATAAAGTTGCTTCCCCAGGGGGTTGGTCAAATTAACAATTCTCATGCTGGTATATAGGCATACTGGATTTGAACAATTAAGTAAATGGATGGAATGGTAGGAGCCAAGTTTCTCACTGTAGTTATGTGAAGTTTCAGATAAACAAGAGAAGGAATGTTTGTATGTGGAATCATCCATGTGGTAATGGATTAGTATTGGGTGTAATGATATGAACCCCTGTTAGCTTAATACAGATACAAAATTTTACATATAGAAATATTTCTAGATAGCACATAGAAATAGATATGTTTATATAAATGAGTTATACATATATATTTTCTTGGTGTATCAGTCAAGATAATCTAGAATTAGTGACAACCCTGTAGTAGCAAACACACCTAGCATAATGATTTGGTTTCCAAAAGAAACCACGACTTGGGTAAGTAATGAATTCTAGAACTAGAGTAGGGAATACAAAAGATGAGCATGGAGTGCTAAAGTAAGGAATTGTACAGAAAACACCACACACGCACACACACACACACACACACCAATGATGTCAAAGAAAGAGAGCCAACAGGAAGAACCCATAGTGGCCAAAGAAGGAATTTTTTTTTTTTTTTTTTTTTTTTTGGTACTGGGGATTGAACTCAGGGGCACTTGACCACGGAGACACATCCCCAACCCTATTTTGCATTTGTATTTAGAGACACGTCTCACTGAGTTGCTTAGTGCCTTCCTTTTGCTAAAGCTGGCTTTGAACTCGGGATCCTCCTGCCTCAGCTTCCAGAGCCACTGGGATTAGAGGCGTGCACCACCGTGCCCAGCTCAAAGAAGGAATATTTGAACAATAAAAGGAATTTGTACTGGTTTGAAACCTGAGGCATAAAATAAATTCATATATTCATACCACAATGAGCAAATTATTGAATAAATTTAAAATGGAGGAAAACGGGTAAATTTTCTATGCTAAATAATTTCAAATAATATACTTAGATACTCTTTTCTTAAGGACCTGGAACATAACTCCCCATTGCTCAAGTGTAAGTTGAACATGATCTCTTTCTTCCAGAGTACAGAATGGAAAGAGCAAAAAGGAGTAACTTTATGCTGGAAAAACCTGTCAGGCACTGTTCCTTAGCCAGATGATCAAGGTCAACATCAGTAGTGATGACTCAGGTTAGTACTATGTCCTCTGCCTTGGGTACAATGAATATGGTACTTTCCTTCTGTGGTCTTCTTCCCCAAAGCACATAAACCTTATCTAATCATGAGGAAAACATTAGATAAATCCCAGTTGAGGGACATTTTATAAATGTATGGCCAGTAATTTGCAATAAGTAAATAAATAATAAAGCCTATGTCATCAAAAACAAGGAAAATCTGAGACACTGTTACAGCTACTGGGAACCTAAAGAGACATGATGACCAAGTATAATGAGATATCCTAGACAGATCCTGGAAACGAAAATGGACTTTAAGGAATCTCTGAGGAGATAATGAATAAAGTATAGACTTTAGGTAACAATGTATCAATATTGGGCCACCGAGAGTAATAACTATACCACACTAGTGTAAGATGCTAATAAAAGAGGAAACTGGATATGGGGTAAATAGGAATTCTTTTGTACTATTTTTGCTATTTTTCCATAAAACTAAGATTATTCTAAAGTAAGACACTTTTTTTTTTTTTAGAAGCTCCCAAGGTAATTCTAATTTGTATCCAGCAATCCACTACTCTATGGGGAGGGATGATTTCTACGAACAAGCTGCTCTTTCTTCCTTCTACCTTTTTTGTTTAATTATAATAAATGTTCTGACCTTGTCCCTGGTATTGTAGCAGTGTGACTTAATGATTTTGGTCGTTTGGATGCAGCAAGTTCTTTAAATGCACAGCCAGTGATATAGAATTTAGAGAGTAATATTTCCTATTAAATTAAAAATCTTATCCAGAAGCTTAAAATACCATAAAGAGTTTAGGTAAATAGACAGTGAAGGGCAGATTATGCTAAATGTGTTGTCCGTTTAAATTTGTATGTGGTAGGAATGCCTTTATTTTCCCTCTGCTATGCTGTCTGTACTCGGAGGTGAGACAGTCTCTAAATTTTCAGTACAAAAGGTTGGGCTTTAATTAGATAGTAGAATTATTCTCTGGGGCTTGATTATGACAAATGAGATAAAAGCATTATCTAGTGGCAATGCACCTTAAAGGTTCAGGAACTGCAAACTGAACCTAGCTGTCTGTTTTTCTTGTGCAGGGAGCAGCTGGGTTTCCCCATAAGCATGTCTGGTACAGATGACAGGCTACAGTGGTCAGCAAGGAAGGAATCGTACCCCAGTACCTAGATGGACTTCAGTGAGGAGGTAGATAAGTGAAGGAGCCCTGATTGATGGCACTTGGTTTGGAAATGGTGAGACTACATTTTTATGTTTGTACTCTTTGCTTAAAACCCTAATATTCAGATATACAAAACATTTATTTTACCTATAATTTCTCTTCTTCAAATAATTTTTAGTAATGATTTCGTATATTATTAAAACCTGAAAGAATATTAACCATCCAGAAAACATTTTTGACTGGGTGTTATACTATGCTAGGCACTGAGGGGATCTTTAAATAGTTAAAAAGAAATTCTGGTCTTTTATTCATTCTTTCATCCAAACAATATTTAGTTGAGTGCACATCATGAATCAGGCATCTGCTAGGTACTGAACATTAAAAAATATAAATAATGAAGCAAAAAATTAAGATTTAGTTTCTTTCTTAAGGTGCCACAGCCCAAGACTGAACTAAATCAGTAGTTCTGAATGTCTGGGAAATATCTGGTGATCACCACTGGGAAGGAGGGAGATATCAGGGCATCTAATGGGTGGAGGCCAGGGATGCAGCTCACTGTTCTATTATACACAGTTCAACTCCCAACAACAAATAATTATCTGACCCCAAATATCGATAATGTAGAGGTTGAGAAACCCTGCAAACCCACTGAGTTCTTCCTTTAACTGAGAACATGCTTCTATGTGTGAATTAAACAAAACCACCCTAAGCCTCCTCCTGCCTTCCCTTCACCAGGTTGGGTAGGAACAGTGGAGAACAGAGTACAGGGAATAGCCCTGCCATTCAGGTGGGGTTTGGTGGTAGCAATCCTCAGAGGAAGGTCATCAATTCTGTCATCAGGTCCCAGCAGTGGGAACAGTCACAGCCCAGACCAGAGGCATGTCCAGTTAAATCAGGCTGCCCAGAGAGAGGACCTGAATCTTCTTTTTAATGGGAGCAGCCGAACTTCTTCAGTCAAAAGCAGGTATGCACAAATCCTTTCAAATAATTTTACTAAAATCCAGTGGCACTCTTACAATTTAGGCATAGGTTTAACAGCTAAATTGAAAGTACCCTGAAATATTGGTATTATTTTGTTTATTTGTTAAGTATCAAGTACAAGTTTAAAAGAAAAAAAAAGTAGCCTTACAACTGCCCTGTTCAATGTAGCTACTAGCCACATGCGACTTCTTAAGTTTAAATTAGTTGATACTAAGTAAAATTTGAAAATGTAAATATAACTTAAAATTCATTCCTCAGTCTCACTTGTCACATGTGAAGTTCTCACTAGCCACAAGTGGTTACTCACTACCCCACTGAATTTTAACAGTGAGGATGTAGAACATATCTATTATCATAGAAAGTGTCTAGGACAACACTGTTCTTCAAGGTGCTGTTCTTAAGGGTCCTCATTCAATTGTGCACTGTTATTGCTGAAAAAAAGGGGGGAGGGTGTTTCCTAGAAGCTGAGGCTCTGGGGCAATGCTTTGCAATATCTCTTTGTCATCATTGGTTAGAAAGGCACAGCCATATTCAACTGGAGGGACCACATCTTTTCTGATATGGAATTTCATAAACATTTATGGAATAGATAGATATGGGGTACCATAAGATGAGTGAAGTTGTAGTTTTCCAGAATATGTAATAATGTAAAAATTCAACTACATAACTCTTCTAAGGCATTGCTGATCTAAATGTGTATTGTTGAATAATAATTCCATTAACATGTCAGTAGGGAATTAAGATATGTGACCCAAATATATCTCTTTTTAGCAACTGACTATAATATAGAACTAGTGCTCAGTGGCTCTAAACTTCAGATAGGGTGGGATGAAGGGAAGAGACTATCTGAAGCCCCTCAAGAGCATTTGTAAAATGCATACATCATCACGATGTAAAGTTTATCAGAAGGGTGTGGTTAGGTGTATGGGTAGGGCAGGTCTCCCAGGAATACATTTTGAAAAATTTCCATTGTTTCTATGTAGCCAATTCAAGTAACTATAATTTAAAAGTATGAAAAGGACATTCATTATGAATTTTGCCATTGTATAAATGGAGTTAATGTGACTTTAAAAAGGCCCTACCTTCCAGAAATTGTGATTCAGTTTGCCTTGGATGGGACCAACATATCCACTCTATTCTCTACTGCTTCTTTCTTTTAAATGACTCCACTCATTGTTCCCATCTGTCCCTCCCCCTGTGTCAGTTAGGATGATTATCAGTTGGGTTTAGAACAATGGCCTTAGGCAGTTTTTTCCAATATTGAGTGTCTCTAGCCAACGTTTGCAAGCTGTGTATCACAATGTTCTTAGATACATTTTCTGATTGGAGCCTGAAGTGACAATTTTGTGTGCTGCTGATCAAAGAGGTATCACATGCACAGAGGACACATTGGCCAGAGAGGAAGGACACTCAGCTGAGGAAATCCCACTTTTTGTTTTTGTTCAAGCTGAAGGACACCCCACTTCCAGAGAAAAGTGGACCTGGAGTATGTGAGCAGGGCTAAAGACGTTCTCTATAAGAACTGATTCAAGTCCTTGCATACCTAGTCAGTCTGAGAACCCAGAGTTTGCATAGAGTTTTGTTCATTTTGGTTTATATTAGAAGATTATTACTAGCCATAGAGAACCATAACAATCTACAAAACGACAGCTCTGCTTATGGAGAGAAAACTTCTATCACTCTTTCCCTCCTATTCAAATCCTGGAATCTCACACCACATTTTCAAAGTATGTTGATTTTTCTTCTAGTAAAGTTGATGCCCTGATTAGGCCATGATTATTTTTAATTTTCATTTTTTTTTCAGAATGAGTTAGAATAGCCTGGCCATATTCTATATTTTCTTCATTCCTGGTTTTAAGTTTCCTCCTGGTAGTAACCCAGTTTTCCCTATCATGTGTTAAATATTGATCACCTGGGGTTTTTAAAATTATTATTGGGATTCATATCATTGGAAACTATCTAGAATATAAAACCCTTTGGGTGGCATGATGTACAACATATGTCATTAGAAAAATCGTATCCCATGACCCCCAGAAAATGCCCAACTCTAGCTTCTTCCTTAGATTAGTTCTATCACTGTTGACAAAATACCCAAGAGAAATTATCTTAAAGGAGGAAGGTTTGTTTTGGTTCACAGTTTCAGTCCCCAGTCACTTGACTCTTTTGAGTATGGCCCTGTGATAAGTAGAGTATCATAAAGGAGAGGGCATGGTGGACAGAGCTGCTTATCTCCTGGCAGCCTAGAAGCAGAAAGAGAGGAGAGAGGCGGGGGATGGGGAAGGAGAGAAGACTGGGCCAGAAGGTATGCTCTCAAGGACCTACTTCTTCCAACTAATCCCTCCATCTCCTAAATTCCCACCACCTCCCCAAAACCCATTAAATTACGAGTCTATCAGTGGGTTAATTCACATGTGGGTTAGTGAGGTCAGATCTATCATCATCAAATCATCTTCCAAAGGCCAAACCTCTCAATACTGCTGCCCAGGGGACCAAGTCTTCAACACAAAATGGGGGACATTTCAGATCCAAACCGTAACACTCCTTTTAAGGATATCAGAACCTGTTGGTTGATGGTGGAGGAAAGGGTTGAAACTGTGAGAAGACTAGGGAAGATGGTCAAACCTAGATGGTTAGGTTCCATCTCTACAAAGTCTAGGTAAAGATCTCTCCTCTGCCTTTGCCTGCAATGTCAGAGGTATGATGTGGCCCAAGATTCTGGGAGGAAGCTGGGCTTGTCTTCTCTAGGTTGTCCAGCTGGAGGGTGGCTTCAAAATTTTCAGTTATGTCATGAGAAAAATGAAGAAAAACCTCTAGAGTGACCTGCTGAAGACTATATTGTGCATTCATAAATGAATATTAAGTGTCTATTATGTGCCATGGTACAATGTGCTGGTGTGACATGATCCAAATTATATTTGGTGTTGCTCCTAGTTTCTGGCACAGAGCTTCTAAGTCTTTAGGATTGTCTGAGTGACAACAGTGTCATTCATATTCTAGTGAAGTGACTGAAAAGGGGTAGGCTTAGATAGTTCAGCAGAACCAACCACCTAATTAGACAGATAGAGCTGCCCCTCTGCACTCCACCTCCATCTCTGGTACAGGAGACCGAGTTCAATCACCCATAATTGAGTAAATCATACCTACATAATGAAGTTTCTATAAGAACTCTGAAAAGATGAAGTTAAGGGAGCTTCCCGGTTGGTGAGCACATGATACACAGGGAGGGCTCTGGGGTCTCATGCCACTTATACTTTGCCCTATAAACCTCTTCCATTTGGCTATTATTTAATTTTTTTTTTAATTATAGATGGACACAATACCTTTATTTTATTTATTTACTTTATGTGGTGCTGAGAATCAAACCCAGTGCCTCATACGTGTGAGGCAAGCACTCTACCACTGAACCAAAACCTCAGCCCCAGGCTATTATTGATTGTATCATTTATAACAAAACCTTATTGGAAAGTAGGAACCTTTTTTGAATTCTGGGAGTCGTACTAGCAAATTTTGAACCTAATAGGGGGATTCCTCCAATTTGTGGTAGACTGAGCAGAAAAATAGAGCTAGCCTGGGGACTCTGTATGCTGCTGGTACCTAATGTGATAGCATCCTCTGAAACTGTGCCCTTAACTTGTGGAGTCTGCAGGAACTGAGTAGTTGGAATGCACACCGAATTGATTGTTGGCCAATTTAATTGCTGTTAGCAAATTAGATAATTGGTAGGTATTCAAATGATGTAGCTGGGGTAGAATGGAGAAGTAGAGAAGTTTCTGCTTTCAAAATTTACAGGTATCTTGATGAGTTTGTTGTTGTGATTTAGCACTGTGGCATATATCAGCTAATCACCCCTCCAGATCTGGTCTTCAGAGACTGAGCTTTATGAGTCACATCAGTGGGCACCATGCTTTCTGTCTCTGGTTGGGTGTGAATGTCTGGCAGCAAGTTTAAGAGAAGGAGATGAGTGCAGGCAGGGTGTTACTCCCTTCTTAAGAGGCCAACTTTGGCTATATCTCCTTTCAAGGCAATTTGTACAAAATAGCTTTCTTCTTCCACATTATGGTAACTTCTTCTCCTTGTGTCCTTGGGCCAAGGTATGATAAAAGTGCTTCAGCTTCTAACCCTGGGTGAATGCCTGCAAACTCATATGGTTCTATTCTATGTATACACTTGTTAAAAATTTTCTTAATAAATAAAACTTCTTTGAATTACCCTGAGCATTCCATCTCATAGGGACCCTGTATATTCGTATGCTGGATTACATTTGCCAAGTATGTTGATTTTTCTTTTAGTAAAGTTGATGCCAGGCTGCTGTTCAGCTGCTTAAGAAGGTCACCTTAGTTGGCAGTGAAAAAATCATACCATAGAATAGAATGCTTATCTTCCTATTTCTTCTGGCAGGAGAGTGTACATTCGATGAGGTGCAGAGAAGGGGAGCTGGGCCATCAGTTCTGTTTTATAGCACTTAGACATTTAAAATTGTTCTTTCAGTTGCCAAAATGCGCCTCTTACCCATTATGATTCTGGCATTAATTCTATATTCCAGGCTTTGAAGATGCATTAATGGTCTGGGTTTATACCAGAATGATACAAGCTGATGAGAGGTTGATAGATGTCATGAAAAGCCATTGTTATTTTCTGTTTTATTGGTGAGATGGAACAGGATAGCAACACTTGAAAGTTTAGTAGTTGTCCCTGAAACATGATTTCCTTTCATGATAAACATTTAAGTGGTAGAGAGCCCAGAAACAGGCTCTGAAGAGAGAACAGAATGTGTGCTTTTACTGTTTACTTCAGAGAAGTTCTGCCATGGTGAACCCTACCATGAAATTTGTATTTATTAATGATCTTTTCATCTGTGCTCTACATGAGCACTTGCATTGGAATGTATAATAGGTCAGTTTTTTTTGATGATGAGTTTCTTGTGAAAAGACATAAACTTATAGATTGGCTGCCTTTCATAGGAGTGACTTTAACCCTCCTTCC